GCGTTATTAGGTTTGAATAAAGTTATTTTTAAATGGCCAGTGACATTGATTCTTGATATTATTTTAGCAATCATGATGAAATTATATTATATTATATGACGAGGCATGAAACAATGCGATTTCAAATGCGAATTTATAATAATATCATACAAAGTTTCTAATTAGTTTTCAATAATCCTTTATTTTTTATTATTTCTCGTGAAGAAATTTTAGATTTAATGAAAAAATCATACAGTATAAATTAAAAATATGAATAACTCTCTGTTTAATCTTCAATTTTTATTTCATGTTATGGTAACGTATTTGTCCTGAATGTGGTTATTTTCGATAAATAAACAATTTATTTAAAAAAAGCAATAAACTTATTTGAATAAACTGTAATATTTAGTTACGGCAAATACCCCAAGGCTAGTAAATTGTTTTGCTTTATTTAGTACAAATATTCTTTTTTATTTAACGTGGTAGTACGCAAAGTAAAGTTACAATAAATAAAAACATAAATATCGGAAAATGATACTCCAACTCATTGGTTTTTGACTTCCATGTAAATATCCCAATAAAATGGATGAAAAATTCATGATTTCTATTTTCTATCGCATAAAAGTGTTAAAATGCTATTTACACAACAATGTACATGGAAATAAAAACGCGTGTGGAATATGAATAAAACTAAATTTAAAAGTTTAAGGGACAATATTATTGAATAGCACTGGTATTTATTTTTTTTAATGTACACAATTTCATAAACTGACTAAATCGCATTTTGCACGTCTCATAGCGCGAAGCGCGTGAGGTTGTGCTTTATACTCGACTGGTCAAGGTCAAGCAATTTTGTGATGTTTAAATGCCTCTATCACAACCATATTACACTTATACAATAATATAAGTAGATGTACACCGAAAAAACACTTAAATAAACCATCTTTTACTTTTTAAAATCATTTCGTGTTGCTATTTTGAAAAAAAAAAAAAAAAAAAAAAAAGCAAGTTTCATTCGACTTCATTGCAAAAAACTTTGCAATCTTTACAACCAATTAATAAAAATAGAATTATATGACTAAATCGCATTTTGCACGTCTCATAGCGCGAAGCGCGTGAGGTTGTGCTTTATACTCGACTGGTCAAGGTCAAGCAATTTTGTGATGTTTAAATGCCTCTATCACAACCATATTACACTTATACAATAATATAAAGTAGATGTACACCGAAAAAATACTTAAATAAACCATCTTTTACTTTTTAAAATCATTTCGTGTTGCTATTTTGAAAAAAAAAAAAAAAAAAAAAAAAACGTTTCATTCGACTTCATTGCAAAAAATTTGCAATCTTTACAATCCAATTAATAAAAATAGAATTATATTTATTAACAAATAATATGTCTGATAACCTCTGATAAATTATCAAACATCTTCAAGTGCCAACCAAAAAAAAAAGGGGCAAAAAAATAAATAAAATCATAATAATCGAGTTAGCATTAATAAGTATTTATATAAATTCAAAGGGCCCCTTGAACTTCGAGAGCGGTGTGAAAAGTAGCCACCTGGCGGTCTAGACAGACACTGTACTTCGACATCGAATGTCAAGGTTTTTTTTTACTTACGTGCGTAGTACTCTCGTTTTACAACAAAGGGGAAAGGCGTTAAAATCGTGCAACCGTTGACGGCGAAAAGTGGCGCTGTTTAATATTAATAAGCACCTTCCCGGGTTTTCTGCTCTTGGCAGGCACGTAGATACATATCGTTGGTTGCATTACGAAAAGATGCTGCCACTTCTCGCGCCTGGCACATTTTTACGGGTGCGGGTAAAAAACAGGAGGGCATAACAAAAAAAATTTAAATAACTTGGCCTTAAGGTAACAAGTACATGAGGAGGCTTAAAGATCCACCTATAGTCAGCATTTTATCATCTCCTTATCTCGATTACCCTTTAATCCAGCTCACGCATTTTTATAATATTCGTAAATTATCCGCGATAAAACGTCTACACAAACGGCAGTTTCGCTTAAGACAAATACATCGTTCTTCTTTCGTTGCTTTTCTTCTACACTCGTTCTATTCTCTGTTCCAAGGCTCGAGACTCGGAAACGCGATCGTTCATTGAATCGGTAAGGGTGTACAGGCTTAAAATTCAATATATCAGAGTAATAACTTTTCCATTAAAATGCTTAAGTAGTAATAAGTATGCAAGCCTAACTGACAACTACTTTGAAATTTAGCCTATCAGATTAAAGTGTCTAACTAAATGATATTTATTTTACTAAATAATAAATAACAAATAAATCCCTCGAGTAGTTAACTAATAATCTTCTTCACTAATTTTTATAAAAATCAATGCTGATAGCTATTAACTATGAATAGCGATAATTAATTGAAAAAAAAAAAGAATTATGAATAAATGAGTTTCGAAAAATCAGATGTATACATGTATGTAAGTTACAGAAATGGTAAATAAATTATTAGCTAAAGTCACACACGGAAAAAAAAATTCTTGACTTAAATATTCTTGATTAAAGACATATTTACGATGACAGAATTCTTTGGGTCCGTCAATTTTTTACGTGCAAAAAAAAAAGATCTATGAACCTTACTTATATAATTTCTGTTCTATGTCTGTCAGCATAAAAAAAAAATTTTTTTTTGAACCAAAAACATTACCAGAAAAACCTGAGTTGTTTTTGAGCATAAAGAAATTTTCTTACGAGTTTAATTCGAATAAGATAATAACTTTTAAATATTTTCTTGAATCAAAATTATTAATTTTAATCTATAAATAATCGGCTGCTTAATTTTAAAACACAGTAACTGCAAAATTTTTATACCTAATTTTTTTTTAATATTGCTGCATTTTTTATAACTTTTAGACCTTAATTTCAAGTATTTTTTCTTAAAAATATTTATATTCAAGTATTTTCTATTCATAAATTAAATTTTTCATCAATTTGGCAGGCAAACTTTTTTTTAATAAGAAAAATTTAAAAAAATTTCTAAATGTTAGTTACTGTGTTTTGAAATTGGGCTGCCGAAATACTCACATTAAAAACGATTATTTATTATAGCACCGAAATTATAAAATTTCTAATTTAAATTGAACAATATATGTTTAATTCAATCAAAAGTTATATTTCTGCATACATAAATTACAAAAAATTTTTTAATTAAATCAAAAATCTAAAAAATTGGACCGAAAATTAAAAAATAGCATTGAGTTAAGTTTTGATAACTCAATGATAATCTAAAGTCATATGTGTAGAAACTAATATATAATTACTTACTCAATCCCGAATCAATTTTTTCCTCGTTTATTCTCTCCCCATAAATAATTACACTTGTTTAATAGAAATCGAGTTTAAAATACCGATGTTTTTACGTGATGGAAATATTTTCCAGCATCACCTTGAGCTTTCGACCCATTCCAAAGGTCAAGAGTGTATACGAGTAAGAAGACACCGGTTGTAAAAGCCCCGGTATAAAGTATACTCTAGAACGGCAAGAAGGTGGGATATGGTATATAATATACATATAGATACCCATATATAGCATAGGAGGGTAGTAGGAGGGTACAATGTTGCCAAGAAAAAATATAAGTACACATGAAACCGAATAGGCTAGATGTATAGCACGTACCAGGATCAGCCAGTACGTGGAATACTCGTATCGTCTGAGTTGACTCTGTACCTGGAAGCCAGTTCCGGAAAAACACCCTCAATGCTACCACCCGAGCCTTATATACCGTCTTACCTACACCGTTACTGGTTACTGTTGCTATTGCGTTTTTCATGATCCCGGTACCATCCAAAATATTTTTCCCAACTACCCGTTACTCTTGAGTGGTTAATAAATAAACTTTAAAAAATGGCCAACAGTTTTACCGCTGCTTTTTCAATTATTTCTCCCACGATACATTCAACGCAACTGAACCGATTTTTGGGATTGATCGTCTATTACCATTAGTAAAAAACGATTTTATGGTTCCCTTGATGAGGATTGAGCTAGCTGAGGGTTGTTTTTCCTGATGATGTTTTTCTGGTGAGAATTGAGAAGAATGATGTTCCAGAACAATTGACATTGAATCATTGTATGGATATATCTAGATATCCATGTTTGAGAAATGATTAAGATCAAATCAGTAGACTAGGATCAGTAGACCAGAGTTAGTTGAGTTGACCCTTGGAGTAATTGACATAGGATTTTGGGAACGCAGCTCAAGTTGCCTGAAGTATCGATACAAGAACGGCGACTTGTCTTGTCTGATATGTCTTGCTCACCTGTATTTCCACCTGTTCAGCTGGGCGTTACTTCAGCAAGCTCCACCTACATCCCACCTAACGACGAGAAACGTCCAACGACACGACGAGAAATACCTTTACCCGATTGGTCGACAGCATCGAAGTGAAACTCGTTGTATTTTATTATTTCGCTCATCTACCTATCCACCTTGGAAACCCAATAGTACTATTGCTGTTAGGTGTATACTTGCTACAGATGACCTGGCATCCTGTTTCGATGCATGCGCCTTTGCTCGATTCCCCCAGCCCGATTCCGTCTTTGCACCACCATTCACTTTGATACCTTCGTTCTTTTATTTTTCCGCAAGTCAATCCACCGTTTCGCGAATATGCGCACAGACAGACGAGTCCGCTGTTATAGGATACAGGAATTAACAAAAATAATCAATTCTTTTTTCCTTGGCTTTGTTTTTTTTTTGTGCTTCGGTTGTCTTGCTCTGATCGGGATTTATGCATCATATTTTTCATTGGTTTTATAAGAGGTTTTATAATGACAATGATAACAACGTTCTTTGTTTGTGTTATTAAAAATTTTTTATTATTCTAATTTTTTTAGAATTTATTTACTTAATAATGATAATAACAATAGAGATTTTCGTATTAGATACTTGGAGAATTTAGCGCTTGGTTAAGATCAGAGAAGAGAGTCAATGAGCTGTACGGATAAGGAGGTGTTACATATGCTTTAGTACTATAATTAATCACCGCGGAAAAAATGTTACTTCAGTGTTAATAGTTACTAATAATCTTGAAATCTTAACTAATAAGGTATTTTTAAAGATATAAAATTATAAGAATTGTGACACTGTATCCATGGAAGTTATTAGTATACCAGTCACTTAAAAATAGAATTCACTCATAATTACAGTAATGGAATTTTATGTATTCTTATTTGAAAAAAAAAATGAACAACCCTTCGATGGATATAAATAATGCATTGTACACTGATAGAAAGAATCATTTGATTCAAGAAGAAAAATCTCAAACCAAGAATACCATTTTGAAGAAAATAATTGTCAGGAGATAAAATTTTTGGACCAAAAATAATATACTTGAATTAAGAATTAATATATTGGTTCAGGAATTTTTTCTCTTGGCTTGGGATGATTTTTTTTTCGAAATGGTATTCTTCGTTTAAGATTTTTTTTGTCATGCAATTTTTTTATCGGTGTTATATTTACGAAATTTTTGGTTGTGAGTACACGTTAGCTCACAGCTATTTTTTAAATTTTATATGGGAATCATTGGAAAGACCTTTTGGAAAGCCACCGAAAAATTTCGTTGGATAGAAATAAGAATTATTATAGTAATGAGACAAAAATTTATAATTATTTATTTATCCTACTTAATGCCTCATTAAAAGTTTTTATTGTCACTTACATAATTAAGACTTTTCAAAACTCTTAAACAAATTTTATTGAAGTTTATTAATTTATAAATTAGATCATTTAGAAATTAAAATTAAAAAATGTCCAATAAATTAACAAACTTTTTTTTTTTTTAGTAATGATCTGGAAACAATAAATCGAAAGTGTAAAAAAAATCTATTGGATGTTGCACGTACAGCAGATGTTAAATGACAGCATTACTTTTAATAACATGAGTTCAATTTGATGACTGTTGCATTATTGTTAAACTGATAAAGGTAGATAACGATAAATAAACGTATCATTATATAAATATTTTATTATTTTCGGTAAACTTTGTACTGATTTATAGAGTGAAGCGTGCGTATATATTTGTTGTTGGGGGTGGGATGAATTTAAGAATAAGGAAAATAATTTATTGGTGTATCGGATACAACGTCACATGGCGTTAGAAAAACAAAGTACAAAGTAAATTGAATCTAAAAGAAAAAATAAGATAAAAAATAAAAAAAAATAGTAGATAAAAGACGAATGACTCAGTGTGTCTGTTAGTCATTCCTCTCCACCTGTATAACCACAGCATCTTCACGAACAAATGTTATACAAGGACACTACCGAGGGCTAAGCCACCAAAGCCGATGCAGGCGCGAGCCAACACCTGGTGCGTCAATCCCCGAGGGACGCTGATTGTTATTCGTTCCATGCTCATTCTTCCTCGACGTATAACCACTCTTGTACTTAAATTCCTGTTACTATTTTAGTCAGCCTTTAGTCTTTATACTACCTTCGCCTTTCTTAATACACTTTTTCAATTTTTCTTATTTTTTCTTATTTTAGGCTATTTTACGCTAGACACTTATTTTCACCTTGAACATGACCGATTATATTTCTTCGGATTCACTGTACAACCCATTACTTCTTCCTGGTTTCGGACCAGGATTTTGAGGATGATTCGTATCTTTCCGACAAATCTACGGCTCAAATCACGAAACTCACTAACAAGTTTTTTCGCCGCTGATGCCCGTGGACATTCACACGTACACGTCCAGGGAATAACCGGCGATGGAAAAATCTCGGAAATTTATAACCCATCACAGAACCTTTTTTTTTTCGAGTAAAAGTATATTTTCTGCAATCTTTTGGGAATATCAGGTTCAATTTGTAGAGATAATTGAAATATATTCAAGTACTTGTGAAGATTTACAAAAAAAATAACTAATTCATTTAAGGTAGTATTTTTATAGATGAATCTCCTGACATCAGACGATCTGATAGACTGGCTACAAAGTATAATAATATGAATTTCAAAATTCCAATTTTCTCAACAAACTCATTTGAGCACTCCTTCACTGTAACTGCTATTCGTCTATGGCGTAACCTACCAATCGACGTCATAAATGCACTGAGTCTCGAGACTTTCAAAATTAAGGCTTTTGAGTTTTTTTAACATCTGGAGTTGGAAAGTTCAACGTGCTAATAAATCTGATCTGAAAATTGATTTTAAAATTTTGAAATTAAAATTATATGTAAACTTAATGTCTTTACACAAATAGCTATTATATAACAATATTTCAGGATCTTTAATTTCTTTAAATTTTATCAATTTTTCATAAAATTCTTTTTTCTGTTATTTCTCTTTCTCTTTTCATTATATTTTAATTTTAATTATTTATACGCTATGTTTCTCACTACTATACAAAGATGTAAATTGTTTCAACATGTTACTTACGCTATGTTTCTCACTACTATACAAAGATATAAATTGTTTTGATATGTTACTTACGTGTACCATTTCTAATATTGTAATTTATAACATTTGTCATTCGGCTCTTAGCCTTGGCATTAAAATAAATAAATAAAAATAGTATTCTAGTAACTTGCGTGTTTTCTAATTTTTTTTTTCGGGAATTTTTCTTTTTATAAAAAAACAAAATTCAATCATTTCGATTTTTTTGTAGAAAAAAAATTTTGTAATTAAATCAATAAATTCAAAGAGATAAATGATCCAGAGATTTGGCATTTTTGTTGGAACTAAGATTATAAAATTTTATTAGAATAATAACGGCGTACGTCGAACAAAACAGTGATTTTTCTAAACGTATCAATTTTAAAAATTTTTTAACAAATTTGTGCTTTATAAAAATCAATTTTTAAAGGTTACTTAGAGGACATATGTGTATATTAGGTTGCGTAAAAAACATTATTATAACTTATAATATAATGAAATAAAATATAATAGTATTTTACTTAAATCTAGGGATAAAAGAAAAGTTGTATCCGTATAAAATAAGGATATCTTGGTAGTAAAAACTAAAAATAGTAAAAGCTGTAAAAAATATTATCAAGATTATTCTATTTACTTTACGAGTTTTTATATATGAAAAAAAGTTGAAAAATAAATTTTATAACCATCTGAGTGTATATATTTGTAGATATATGCCAGCAAGACGAAAGTAAAAATCTCATGGGGGTTAAAAGTAAAGGTACGCGAATCATGTAAATTGTGAAAAATATGTCTGGCTCTCAATGATTTAAAATATATGATACAACTATATATCTTTAGGTTGATATATTTCTTGAGTATCAATTTTGATTTTACGCGAAACTTTGGGTGCTTTTATTCATGTAGGTATATTAAAGAAAAAAAAAACAATTGAGTTATCTATACCTACGATTTTAGTAAATTCAATAAGACCAACGAAATAAGGTCTGGCTCGATCGTAAAACAAGACAAACAAATTTCGAATCTTCTATGTCCCTGTCTTGTTACTCATGTATCTGTCTTCTTCAACTCATCGATAGGATTTTATTCATACATCTTATCTTTACATGCATGTACATTTTCTACCAATATCGACTCTTCATGCAAAGAACACACTCATAAAAATTTTTATTAATTATTATTATTATTATTATCCATAACTTATTAATTTTTTCCTATGCAATATCTGGCATGAGAACCATTTAAAGCTCTATTACCTTATTTGTTTTACAGTTACTTGCAATTATTTTAAAAACATCAATAAATAGAAACTATAGATGTCATTTCAAAGACAGTTTTGACATCTATCTAAGTATTTTTATATCGAATTTATTTTTTTTCAAAATTCGAATTTCTCTTAAAAATTATAATTACTTTTATCTTGTAGTTCCCACAGGAAAAATCCTATTGCTGCGACAGGATTTTATCATGTTGCTTCCACAGGATCAGTTCGGTTTCTGCACCATGAAAATCCTGTTGCTCCCAGAGGACTACATCCCGTAGCAGCTCCTATTTTTTCCGTATAATAAACTATTAAGTTGGATTGTAAATAACAATTTATATCTCATTTAAGAAAAATTTGGCGATTATATTTGATTGATTTGTGTAAAATGCTACACTTTTACATAAAATGTGAAAAATCCAAAAACTGCCATGTTAGTTAAACAGAGGTTAATAGATTGTACTTTCTATAGCCTTTCAATTCATTTAATCGTATTGTCAACAAAAATCGTTGCATTTTTTTAAACAAACAATTTTTTTTTTGTATTAATAAAAAGTTTTCTTCTAATTTTTTGGATATTGTCCGTTTATAGAGAAAAACAAGCTTTAACATGATATTTGAGTTTTTTAAAATTGGTGAGGGATTAAAAGTGACATATATGATAAATAACATATATGATGATGTATATAATTGTTTGGAGATCATTTTCCTTTAATTATACCCGTAACTTTAATAATTCAATTTTACATTTATGAAGTAAATTATAAACTTAGATAACTTTACTAGGGAGTAATCTTAGAGAAATCTTGTTCTGTAATCACATAAGTTTGATAGAAATTAATTATTAAAACACAATCAGCATCAAGAAAACATGAGCTTCACATGTTAGTGTCATGTTAGTAACCTATGCATATTAAAATGTATGAAAATTTTAATTAACTAGGCGTAAAATTATTTAGTTTTATTTGTCTGTTTCTTGGTGTTAATAATATCCAATTTGATTACTATTATAAGCATGAATATAGTTTAATTATTGATATTTAAATAGATGATTCCCTGTGGGAAGCAAAGGTTTATATAGATACGAGAAGAAAGGTCCGCGTGCACTTTCCATAAAATCTCATTGTATATGAGATCACTTAGTGCGGCTGAGACATTAACGACATGCGAACACAAGTGTTTCGTTACTATATCCACACATACAGTTATGTATTACAGCGATCTAAATTTATATACAACACTTTCAAAGTCTATCGCTTACGCTCTGGATATTGAAAGTAGAAAGTTTTATTCAGACATAAGTTTTACATTTTTTTGCAATGGTACATTTATGTCAATTATGTATTGTTTTTGCCATTACCATTTTTAGAGTGTCATAATTTTTTTTAAAGACTAAGTACGCTGACGAATTTTCGTGATATAAACGTATAATATAATCGTTTTTCTGAAGAAAATTATAAATTAAAAATACTTTTATTTTGGAGATCAATAAACGTATACGTATCGAACGAACTGTTGTCCACTACTATTAATGGAATTAGGGTCAATTTTTACACCGAAATTTTTTACAGTGTATTTTCTACTATAGTTTTTTCTGCTGTACTGGAAAATATTTAAACAATTAATTATTAACTTATGTTACAATGTCCTTGACTCGGTACAAGTCCCAACGGAGTAATTTAACGATTCACACGAGGAAGATCAACAAAACAATTGACTCAGTAATCTCGGGGGAGCCAAGACTTGTTTTTCTTTTCTTCTCATTTATTTTTCTTGTTGTTGTTTTATATTTGCATCTCTGTTTTATTGTCCGACAAAGACACAAAGATCGAGTGCACCCTCTTCGTTATCATCCCGTTCTCTTGAATATTCCATGAGAGGTCGAGTGATCTTCTAGTCACCGAAAAAAGCGAAAGATCCTTTCTTACAGAATAAAAAAAAAAAAAAAATTCAAAATGTGCAGACTGTATTGAAACATATCGACATTGAAAGTGAAGACAAGACGATGAGAATAAAAATAAAAAATGGGTACGGGGTAAGAAGAAAACAATGGGCTGTTGTATGAAAGAGGAAAGTTAAAAATAAAAAGAGATTGGTTACACGAATCGTCGATTTTCTTTACTAGAATAGCCTGGAGGTTACTCTTACGAACTGCAGATGAGAACTTATGTGAGAGATTGCGTGTGATGGCCTCCCGGCATAATCTCTCACATATCTCATTCTTTTACCTCGACTAGTACCGATATATCCCTTTAGTTTTATTCGGTGTCGTCCTCGAAGATCCAAAATTTTACGAATCTTGAGATTTTCTGGCTGCACATTAAATCGGGACCATTTCTTTTTCACCTTAATACTAACTCATCGGGACGACTACTTTGTCTGTCTGCGCTGGATTTCAGTGTATCCATTCCCCTGATCTCGGCATATAACAAATACCCCCGATGCAGAAATATATTGAAAGAGTTTGCGAAAACCGCACTCGAGAGACGGAAACATTTATTATTTGCCGTCGAGGATTGTTGGGGCATTGTCGTCTCTATAACCATCTACTGGAGATGCTAAACGCTTTCGTCAATGTATATAAGTATGTATATGTGTATATGTGTAAACGTGTATATATCTATAATTTACAAAGCAGATAGGAAGTCACTTTGGTCACTCACGAACGGAAGAAGATACCAAATGCAACAGCATTATTCTAGACTACTGTTCATTCGTATGGGGAAAATATTTTTTCATTGTGGTCATTATTTATCTCTTAAGTAGATAATTGACTTTTATGGGTATGAGTAACTTTATCTTTTAAACTGTTAATGTTTGTAAAAAATTCAAACCGGAAAGCGTTTTTTTTATAGATTTTCCGAAAAATTTAGTCTTTAGTTTCTAAAGGATAGGAGTATCATTGCAGATAAGGATTTTCGTTGGTTTATTTTTAAAAATTTTATAACGTTATACTGACAAAAAAAAATTTATTACGTCATGTAAAGGGTTTTAAAGGAAAACATGTACATAATAGCAAAATTTAAAATGGGAATAATGATAAACAATATTGAATTGTTAATTATTCAGAAAAATTGAGTTATAGAAGGATGAGATATAAATAAAATTTTCAAAAAAAATTTTTTTTTTCCAAATGGTCTTATACACAGTAAAAAATTTTGCGTCAATGCGCCAAAATTTTTGTGTTAAAAATTTTTCTCTTAAATATTTAACACTTTTTTGTGTTAATTTAACTTTTCTGTGTTAATTTAACACAATAAATGTTAAATTTACACGTAAAAGTGTTAAATATTTAACATAAAATTTTTTGACGCAATGACGCAAAATTTTTTACTGTGTACCATATGAGTATGGGTTTTTTTTTTTAATTAAATTAAATAATTAAGAAGGTCTTCAGTAAGTTCTTACTTAGATTCGAATTCCCCACTAAATATCATCTGCTTATTTATTAATTTTGTTTATA